AGAAAAAGTAGAATTGGGCTGAAAGATCTATCACTTTATCACCTATTCAGGTTGTAAATTGTGTTGTTAAAAAGTAACTAAGTAACTAAGTAATTAATTACTTTTGAAAACAAGTAATCAGTAAAGTAATGGGATTACTTTTTGGGGGAAGTAATCAGTAATTAGTTACTGATTACTTTTTTCAAGTAACTTGACCAACACTGGAGGTGAGCCTTCATTTTACTGAGGCTTCTGCACAGCATCCTATTTGTTCCCACAACCGCACTCCAGCAGACTCATGTTAACAGACACCTGCAAAATGCCAAAACACCTGTTTCTATAGAGGCGCTCACTCTGGATGATGCTCAATTACTCGAGTACTCACGCTCTTAATATGACTGTACTTATTTTTCCATGCACTCTTGCATTTTGGCTTGATTATTGTTTAATTAATAATTTGCAGGACATTTAGTGATTGTATGCAACTTTAAATTCTGCCTCCAGGTGAGCTGAGGACGAAACAGAAGTGTAAATGCTTCACTGCCAACCTGAACACAAACTGAATTTCATTCCCTCCACTGAAATGACACTTTTCAGTGAGCTGACCTAGAAACAAACTAACGTTTCTCTTACACCGACCAACTGAGTCTTCAGCAAAACAATATAATTATCATTTATAAAGATAAACCATAGATGATGATGATGACGACAATGACATTTTTCCTTCATTGCTCATTTTAAAATTTATTAAAAGCACAAATCAGAAAATCTGTTTATTAGACTTATTTTTATTAGTTGATCACGTTTTAAATATTTTACATTCCTGTTTCATATGTTTTTTTTAATGTTTTTCAGGTTGCAAGCAACAAATTTTTGAAGGTTCTGTTCAACAAGTTCTCGCTGGGAAATAAAACTGAAGGTTGCGGCCATGATTATGTTGAGATCAATGATGAAAGGTCAGTAACGAGCAGTGCTATGCCTTTTAAAGAAAGATTATTCTTAGTATACAGTGCTGTTAAAAGGTCTTACATTACCACCAATTTCATTATATTTAGCTGGAAGAATGGGAAATAGCTGAAGTGAAACCCTCAGAGAGGTCCGCAAAAGAAGACGTCACACACAACGCGCTCTGTTTAGACCCAGACCAAACAGCATTGTTTGACTGATGGCCTTCATATAAAGACT